GCCGGATCTGATAGATTTTGGCATCTTTCAGTACCTGGTTCCCTGACTGACATGGAACCATGCTGTACTTGGAGCAATGATCACCACGCTGACAGTGAGAGCTCTGTGGTGTTGTGGCTAACCTACAGCATTAGCACTGAAGCCACAGAGTCTTTACATCCATGTTTCCAAACTGCTACAGGTGTCCAACTAGGAGTACAAGTATCATAGGAAAATGGTAAGAGAGCGCTGACACTCTATGCAGATGTATATGGCTGGAAACTGATGCTGCAACAGCAGTGGTTGAGCAAAATTAAGTTTAGAAACCCCTGTTCTACACTTTGTTGTAGGTCTGAGCATTGATATTACAAGTCACCAGCTAAATCCTATGATTTAATTGGTATATGATACACAAACACACCTATCACCAAAGATGGGAATGAACAAGGCAAGTGGTTTGTTTCAGCCTATTTGGGGTAACAGGGAGCTTATCCTTAGGAAACAAATAAATACACTTTTTTTTTCTTAATGATGAGTAGTATTTATTTAAGGTACCTTTATTGAGGTATTCCTTAAGGCTTTCAAGTGTTTAAAGAGAATATTTTTACGGCTTTGGTTAACTAAGCTATACTAGTTCACAGCAAATGAGAGTCATTTTTGTGTCAAGAAGCCTTTAGACTTCCCTTGCTTGTTTGTTTTGCTACTATTTATTTATTTATTAGGCTTTGAGATAAGTATTTTATTGAGGTTTTGGTGGCAGAGGTGTTATGTGGTTTACGTTTCCTGCTGCTGTTTTCTCGTGAGAGGCTTTCTCTAATAAGCTGTACTCTCACTATATCCAAGTTTGTCCTCACTTCAGTATTAACTCATCATCTCTTCATCTGATTTCTAACTGTAAATACAAAAATCTCGTGCTCAGGTGTGTGTTAGCAATTCACACCTGAGGTAGTGGACCCATTGCATCATACTGGTTTAAGAGCTAAATCTAAGTGCCGCTTGCTCTCACTCTTGGTAACTGCAGCTGCAGGCTGAACTATCTGAAGGCTCAGTCCTGCTGCCTGCATTCTGTAGTTCGAAAGAGCAGGAAAGGGACTGGCTGCCTTGCTGAGAACCCAAGCAAGGACCTCCGAAGTCCCAGGCAAACACAGAGCACTGAACCTTGCTATGTGTATCACCAGTATGGCTTTGTAATGGGATAGTTTACTCCAAGTCAAACCAAAGCCACTGCGCTCAGCTTCTCTGCAGAGAAGGTATAGCTCTTGTGGGATATATAGCCCTTCCTGCTTGTACTGGGAGAGGGTTCTGCTCAGTTTGACATAGATCTGGAGTTGAAAGTCAGTAGATACTTCACTTTTATGTTACTATAAATGAGCAGAATTTGAGCCACTGCTAAAACTGGTCTTTTGTTTAATATCAAGCACAGAGTAAAGGAAACTATTGAAAAAAATAAAACCTGCGGAGTCCATGTTGAGTTTTGATCTCCTAGAACCTAAGACTTCTTTTCCCCACCACTTTTAAGCCCTAGCTTGCATCAGTACAGATTTAAATACAGCCTGACCTTCCATCAGTTGATTTTGGAGTTCCTGCAGCTTTTGGTATGATCCTTAAAAGGAGATCCAATCTGCTGTGTGGCTGACGTAACATCTTTTGTACCGGACATGAAGGTGATGTAAAATGTTACAAAGTCAAAGAGGGAGTATTGCTGTCTGAGCCTTGGTTGGGGAACAGGGAACACTCTTCAGACTGTAATATGAGACCTTCCATGCGACTTACTGGGGCTTGTACAGGCAGAGGAGAGATGGCAGATCCCAGCATAAGACTTCAATGACTGCAAGTTAAACCATTAAACAACAGGGGGCAGGATTTATGACAGGAATGGATTGCAAACTATTTTTCCAAACTAGGGTGGAAAAGATCAGATAGACACCAAAGTGTCAGAGACCTTTTTCAGTGGGCTAAGGTGGAGGGGGTCTTCTGTTTTCATTTCCCTAGGAGAATGCAGAGATAGGAAATCTGAAATGCATTGCCCCTAGGCCACAGGATAGAGATAGGCATACTTTCCCCCCAGCCACCCAAACCCCCATAATGCTTTTATTCTACATAAGCACTTTGTTCTTAGGCATCTCAGCAATGGCAGATTGTCACTTTTGCTTTCTCACAGGAAACAGAGTTCTGTTCCTGGAGCAAGTCAGACCTACTGTGATGAGTCCCAGATAAGATATGGGAAAGCCAAGGAGGTCTGGCTTGAGTGGAAGATTCAACTTGGAAAGATGGATAATGACTAAATGGACCGTCTGGGTGCACTCGGAGAATAAGCAGGCAGTAACAGGAGGTAGCAATAGCAACTTGTATTTTCCAGATTTCTCATCTCTTCCCACTGCTGTTTCCAATGGAACGTCCAGGGAATGAGTAGATCTTGCTCTTTTAACTGCACTCAGATCTCCTCTGATACAAGGAACATGCTGGTCTAAACTAGCACTGATGCAGTACTTGATGTTTAACTCCCCATGCAGCAAAGAACTACTCTATCATTGTCTTCAGTGGAATTTTCGCTTAAGAATAAATAGGGATTGATTTAAGTATTTGCTTAAGTGATCATCTTAGGTGAGTCATACATATAAGCACCTTTGAAATACCAGCATTTCAGAGCAGCATATGGAATTAGCAGGGAAGAATTCCACATTGCAGTAAAAATAAAAGCACTGATCCCAGAGCTTTGGTTTTCAGTGTCTCCCAGGCAGGATGTCGTGTACTTGTGTGGGTGGGTGAAGATCGGAAGGGCACAGGCCCTTCCTACACTTCCAGCATGTTCACCACCCCCACTTCTGATGGAAGGTGCTGCAGTAAAGAAAACAGCACATTTTCAGCCATAACTCTGTGTTTTTCCTTTGCGGTCTGTTTATAGTTCATGGATCGTACTTTAGAATGTTCTTTCACGGACTAATAGGCACTATACTTACCACAAATATAGATCAGTAACGAAACCCACTGGAATATCTCCATCTGTGTAACTAAAGAAAAAAGCCAGTAGACTTCATATCTTACAGTTAAAGCAATTCATTAACAAGAAATAGCTCATGTAACTGGAATTATTGGCCTATTTCTTCATAGTTCTATCACTTCTAAATATTTACACATTTATAACTGCAGGCAAACACATTGCGATCTGAAAATGTGCTCTGTGGTTTTTACACTGAAGTGCATAGTCCAACCATGTACATAAACCCCGTGTTTATCCCTGTATTTCCCAAATCCTAATAGAAATTTCAAACCTTTAAATTGGGTTCATACTATGCTTCTGGATGTAGCTGAACTTTGTGTATAAGAATGACATCATTGTTTCTAGAGTAACTAGCCTTACATGAAAAGAGGAAAATCAGAAGCAGACTTTTAAGAGGAAAATATCAAACAAAATAAATGGTTTGAACACAATATATGATGCTTTTGGGTGCTATAAACATTTTATTGTTACTTGTTTGGGAAGAACTGCATAACTCACTGGGGCTCCACAACTTGTAAGTAATGCAGCCATCTCAAAATCCAACAGATTTATCAGTCATGGTGTTCAAATGAAAATCCAGGATCTCGTTTCCTCCTAAGTCCTCATAAATTTGATCAAGTGTTTAACAATGGCTCATCTGCATGTGTTCCCTTACATTTATACAAGTGCACACAACTTGGCTTAAATAGTATACCCTGAAGGGAATATTTTAGTGCCGGAGCGCTAAAATCTAGTTGCGACTTTTATGTTTAAAACAGAAATACCAGAAACTTCAGAAACCAGTCACCTATAGCAGTAAATACAGGAGATACAGTATTGCAGTTAGAGACTTTGTGCTAGAAATTAACAATTGTTCATATTATTCTGCATAGACAGTAACTCACATCTAGGTGAAGCTACAGCCTCATCACTGTTACACTGAGTCTCACTGTGTTCTGACCTGGGGCCACATTTCATCCCCCAGTTACAGGCAGAGGAGGGTGGCATCAGATGGTGATTTTCTGGGGTTGCCTCAACACTTTGTGGTGGTGAACCCCATCTGCCTTTCGGCTGATAGAGCACCCACAGAACCTTTCTAGCACCTTCCAGAGAGGCCTCTGCCCTGGAAATTCAACTCAGCCTAGTGTAGGCCCAGCATCTGTCCCGTGTAGGTCCTTACTATACTGCTCCTTGCAACAGCATTGCGTCCTGCTAACTACTGCCCTGCAGGATCTTGCTGTAAGGCAGCTACCTACCTGGCAGTTCCTGGGTCTTCCAATGCTTTTCTTCATTGGTAAAGCTACTGTATTGCAACCGAATTCTACAGCAGCAGTACTGCCGTGAACAGATCAGTGAGAAGCATTTTGCTGGGAAAGTTTTCTGTAAATAACACCTCTGTTAATTGTTGCCTCAACTTCTATTATTATTATCATCATCATTGAGATTATTATTTCCAAATTATGTGGTTTATGGGTGTGCACAGGCTTGTTCCTGCTCACAGCTAGCCTCTCTCCTCCTCCTCTGTGCGACCAGAGCTTGTTCCTGTTGCATCCCGTTGCGACATTGCAACTGAAGGCTTGTGGTGTCCCGTGTGGCGGCCGCGGCGGGAGCACATCCGTGTGGGAAGCCCTGCTCCTATGCCCATGCAAACGTTTTTGTTACTAGTAACTATTGTTTCAAAAAGGGAGTGGAACCGGAGCGCCAAGGCTCGCTTATCGGGTCTAATTTTAAGGTGCCATATAAACACTCCCCGAGAAAGCGGCAAGAGCCCAGTGCTCCCTGGAGCCGCAGCCGCCTCGCAGCCCACCCGGGTCTGCAGCGCGAGTGATTTAAGCGGCCGCAGGGTTCAGGGGAGCGCAGCGACAGGAGCAGTCCCGGTGGCGCCCGTGGACCGGGGAGCCGGGAAGGGCTGCGGGGCGAGCGCAGCACTCGCTGTCTGCCCGCAGCCCCGCGGTGGCGGGGCGGTGCGGTGCGGCGCTGTGCATGCCGGGCGCGGGGAGGCGCGGGCAGGAAGCGCTCGCTCCCGGCCGAGCCGAGCCCGTGTGCCGCCGGCGGCGGGGGCGGGCGCTGCCGCGCCGGTGGGGCTGGGGCACGGCGCAGAGCCGCGGCCGAGGCAGCGGCGGGATGGGGTTGGCTTCCTGAAGCGGCGGGGGGCGGGCGGGAGGGGGCTGGTTCTGCATTTCGGTCCCTCTCCTCCTCCCTCCTGCCCCTCTCTCCTAAGTTCGCGCTGTGCCGCGGCCCCTCCGGAGCGGCTGCCTGCCCCTGCCCCGCTCCCGGCGCTGCCCGCGGCGGGGCGGGCGGGGACAGCGGGGAGCCAAGGCGACCCAAGGAGCGGCCCGCCGCCTTCGGGGAGGCTGTGCTCCGGGCAGCAGCGGGGGGGAGGCGGCTGGCACAGGCGCTGGGCTCTCGTCGCCCGCCCCCCGGCAACGCCGCCGTCTGCCCAGCGCTGGCAGCCCCGGGAGATGGTGACACATGAAGCGTGCGGGAAGGACCATGGTTGAGAGGACCAGCAAGTTCTTGCTGATCGTGGCCGTCTCGGTGTGCTTCATGCTTATCCTGTACCAGTACGTGGGGCCGGGGCTCAGCCTGGGTTCCCCCAGTGGCCGCTCCTACTCGGAGGAGCTGGACCTCTTTCCCACGCCGGACCCGCACTACGTGAAGAAGTACTACTTCCCCGTGCGGGAGCTGGAGCGGGAGCTCGCCTTCGACATGAAGGGCGAGGACGTGATCGTCTTCCTGCATATCCAGAAGACCGGCGGCACCACCTTCGGCCGGCACCTGGTGCAAAACGTGCGGCTGGAGGTACCCTGCGACTGCCGTCCCGGGCAGAAGAAGTGCACCTGCTACCGCCCCAACCGCCGGGAGACCTGGCTCTTCTCCCGCTTCTCCACCGGCTGGAGCTGCGGGCTGCACGCCGACTGGACCGAGCTCACCAACTGCGTGCCCGGGGTGCTGGACCGCCGGGAGAGCGCCGCCGCCAAGACGCCCAGGTACTGGCCCGCCGCTGCTCCCTCCCGGGCCGCGCACCCTGCCCGAACCCCTTCCCCGTGCAGCCCCCCGCCCTGTGCGTTGCAGCATGTTGGTAATGTGCCGTGCCCCAGCGTGCTGTGAACCTTTCCTCAGCTGGTTCACCTGTCCCGTCCTCCCCTCCCGTCCTCCAGGGCTGTGCCCTGCACCTTCTCCTCTGCGTTCCCAGGCAAATAAATAGCCCTTTGCCTCCTCCCACGGAACTGGTATGCTGCACCCTCAGCCCTCGGTCTTCTGCTCTAGCAGTCCGGGTGGACCCCTTAGCAAGCCTATGTATTTGTGCCACTTACTCTCTTTTGTGAACGCTTAGTCTTTATTTCATACCTCACTTGCCACTTTTTAGTCCCCATTTCACTGTATCATTAGCCTCAAGCCTGCCTTTGTAATCAGCTGTGCCCTGATCTGTGCACCCCTCTTTCTTTAGCTGAAATTGTTCTCCAGTGCAACTGAAAGGCACACCAGCCCACCAGTCCTCATTCTTTTGCCTACCCTAATCTGCCTGATAATTTTTTTTCACATTGTAGAAAATATTCTTTAAACACCCTTTTGTATGTTTTTTGCTGTTTACTCCTGATGGGACAGCTGAGGTGAAGTCTTTGGGGGAAAGGAGCTACCCTGTACGTGTTCTTGTGTCTCCCCCATCAGTGCACGAGGAGAGAGGGAGTGCCATCATAAAGCACCCCTCAGTGCATCCCTGTTGAATACCCAGTATATTTCTGCCCTCTTACTCCATTATTTCTCTACCTTGGTCTCTATAAATTATAAGCTTCAGAGGTATTTTCTGTTTGAAGTACTCCAGTAAAGACAATGGATTATATTAAGATCTTCAAAGATTATATTCTTTTAGCTCAGTAGACCTTTGTGTCTTTCCTATCCTTTTCACTGGTTTTTAACAGCACGCGCACCTTCCTTGACACATCAGTGTTTTTGTTATGACCCTTTGAAACTTTAAGGCAAACAGATTACGTTCTTAAACGTGTCCAAGATCTTATGCTAATATTTGCTTATGCCATAAGCTTTATTTATATGCATATTGTTAATACCATGCATAATCCCGTTAGTGAAACGTGGCCTTTAAGAAAGTATGTTCTAGCATCAGAACTGTTTTTCTCTCTTATTTATTTCACTGGAGCTTCATGCAATTGCTGGGGTTCTTTATTGTCTCTCTCATGATTGCTGCTGTTTTCAACCCGTTTCAGTGTTAGTCGTCCAAGTACTACGCTCAGATAGCTGTCATGCTGCCTGATCCAGAAGCAGCAAACTGAACTATGTAGCTAAAGGGCCCGAGTGTTCAGGCTTTCCTGTGGTCTCTTATAATTAGGTACTTGAAAACACCTATGAGTAAAATATCCTCAGCCCATCTGGTTGCAGTTAAGATTGTAGTGAAGTGTTTTAAGAACAAATGCCCAATGTTCAAATCTGATTAAAAAAAAAATTAAAAATTAGCTGTTTTGTGAACCATGGCACTTGACTTGGGAAACCATTAACCTGCTATAAAGACCTGTGTGGTTTTATGAATTGTCTTGGAGTTTTGGGAATCTTGTGTGCTTCCATTGGCAGTTTTATACTAAAATCTGCTGTGTATTCAGTATAGAACTGTCTCATCCTAGTTAGCAGTTGGGATTTTGTAGAGGTACCTGAGAACAGGGCACTTCAGGTTGTGAAGTAGCTGTTCCTTGCTGCAACTCATAGAAGTTGAGAACCAGAAGCCTATTCCCTCATGTCAAATGCTTGTAAATAAGATTTTCTTTGCCATTTGTTGTGGCACATCAGGAACTATAAGCTTCTACATGCTGCTTAACCCTCTTGATTTTTGGGGTGTGCAGGAAAAATAATTAATCCTGTCCTGTTCCCTCGTGTCTCTGCATAAATAGTTCTGCTTTATGTGGTCTCTTTACTTCCCTTAAATATAAATTAGAACTTTTTCAGCATCATAAGAATTCCAGTGTGGAAGTTTTAGATAATCTAAGGTTTATCACCTTGGTCTAGTAAATAAACCCCAGAATTTACTGTTTGTTGTATCCTGGGGGGGGGGTGTTGCAATGAACAGCTGCTGCTTATTCTAATAATACTGTCCTAGGATACTGCTCTGTTGTCCTACAGTCCAGGCTAGTAGGCACCTTCTCCAAACTACAATTTATTTCATGTGTAAGAAAATTAGGAATAAGGCAGGCAGTGCTTACTTAAAATAGAAATTTGATGGATTTTCTTTGCTGGGAAAAAGGTAGTCTTGTGTTATGCCCATTACACAAAGAACAGTGTAACTTTATTTCTTTGTTGTGAATGTTGGCTCTCTTCTGTTGAAAGAGGGCATGTTTTTACATAAGGCATATGCTAGAGAGGCTACTATCTTATAATGGAACTGAGCTGTGAAAATATATCTCACAAGGAAAAGAGAAAGGAGCAGCAAAGCACCATTCCAGCAGGGTTCACTCACATTCTAATATTACCCACTCTGGGCTTTGGAGTACAGTCTTCAAATTCAGCTTTTAGAGCTTCTGCCTTTTCTACCTAATGCAAAGTTTAAACTTTTTTTCTTCCAACTGTATGTTTAGCCCCCAAAACAGCTGACTTGTGATGACAAATAAATTTGCCTTCTAGTGAATGTTGGAAAGCATGAAGGTCATTCAGTATTGACCACGTACAAATCATGAGCTTCAAACTGTTAACTTGGTAAGCAATATGGTTTTGTCACTGCACAGTGCCCTGTTGCACTACATTCCATAACCTGTGCATGGTACATAAATTTACAGTGCAATTGCTCTTTTTATCGTTCTGCTGTTCTGTGTTAGACTTAATGATTAGAAGCCCTAGATTGCCAGAGACTGCCTTTTGTTGTTCCTTCTTTCTGTCTTTTGCATTGATAGAGTAAGCTGTTAGAGGTGGGTGTTTTTAAAGAGTCAGGACTCTTTAAAAAGCCCCCAAACAACAAACTACTGGTTCTCTTCCCCTTCCCGCCCCACTGCTAGTGACTTTCCCTGTTTTGTATTCAAGAGACTTCTGGACAAGCACTTCTTGAAATCAAATGTCATGTTTTATACACAGCCAGTAAAAGAAAGAGATTGATTTGTTTGGGGGCTGTAAAACTTGGGACTCCAAGGACCTCCGAGGCTACCTGTGTTTCTCAATTAAATCTCTTCGCTGTAGTTCTCATCATGCCTGTAGTAGAAGGGAAATTCCAAGATTTTGGGAATGGAGGCCTACTTATTCCTTGTGCTGTTGGGCATAAATGCTGGAAAAGACTCTTTTTTTAAGCAGCAGTAATACTAGGGTGTGTGCTTGAGTCATCACGATGATATTTCAGAAAGCAGAGGCTAAGCACTTTCTGTGAACTGCTCCCTTAAATTTATCTCACCTAAAACTGCAAGAGATCTAATCTCTCTGCAGTTGATGTGGAAAAAAAGCCAAACTCAGGTCTTTAATTTGGCTTCTAGAATTAGAAAAAACTCTGAAGGGATCCACTAGTAACTTGGCTGTCTCCTTTGTTAAAGGACTGAATGAAAGCCCTTGGAGGTGTTGGAAAGGTTCCCCTTTTAGCCCCCAAAGGAGATGGGATTCAGTGCCCTTCTGGCTACATCCTCCTTCCCTGCTCCCAACACGAGAGCAGAGCTAGGTGTTCCTTGTAGGACACTTCATGCGTGAGCTTGACTCTTAATGTAATGTGCTGCAGAAGCCAACTATGCTGAAGGAATGTTTCCTTTACTACCTCTTCTCAAAAGAAAAATAAGTAACAAATCCCAAACCACCCAAAAAAACCCAAACAAGACAAAGCCAAAACCCAGCCTAGGCTTTGTTGTGATCCTGTCTAAGCTGGCATTTTCCTGGAGACACATTATACACGTGGAAAGGATTTTAAGGCATACAGCTCCTTTTAAACTGTTTTATGCAAGCTGCCTGTTGCTGTGCAGAACCCGTATAGTCAGTAGAGTGCTGGAAGGGCATTGCTGGCTCTGTGCTCCCCCAGCTCACATACGTGCTCTGCCTTCTGCTATGCTGTTCAAAGCACCAGGTAGATTTATTTCTTCTTTGTGGTGAGCCTTCTCAAGACACTAGCTTAGGCTTGGCTTTGTGTGTGTAGTTCTGTGCTCATCTGTCATAGAAGTTTGGTTTCAGAGTTCATCTATGGACAGAAAAGAATGACATAAGTATTTCTCAGTGAGTTTAAGACGAGTGTGTTTCCAGTGTCAGTGTTTTTTCTCAAGATTTTGTATGCTTTAGAAATAAAAAAAAAATGGTAATCCACAGACTTTTATGTAAAAAGTCTATGGCAGGTTAGTAAAATCTGCTGTTAAATACATCAGTCCAAGGTTTAGAAGCTCTCTGATAAGCTATTTACAGCTTGTGTTTTGGGTTGTGGTTTTTGTTTTTTAAGAAACAATTAACAGGGCTCGGCAGTTTGTTAGGCTTGATTTTTCTGAAGTGTGAACTTTCACAGCTTCCAACCACAGATCTGTCCCGTTGCAGGGATCTGTTCTTGATGAGGTTTTTATTATATGTGTGCTTAGGAGCTGCAGAGACACGTTGTCAAGAGACCAACTGTTTGAAAGTGAAAGGCTTTACCAAGTCACTCTTATAATATTAGCACTTTTTGAAAGCTTAGGCTTATCGTTCTTTGTGGATCTGTGTGTGCAGGGGGTTGTGAAATACTTGTCTGCAGGGAGCAAGGGGCATATTTTCCACTCACCAATTTGACTCCAACTAGTTTTTCTTAAAGACTGCTGGGAAAATATCAATATAAAGCTATTTTCAGTAGCCTGATTCTTTGCATGTGGACTATTTTAAAGGCCTGCTAGTCTGATCCGAAACCTTTTGCACCTGGTTGTGCTCACCCATAAAGCCAGGTTGGTCTTTCAGAGCCAAATAATTCTGAGGGGCCATATAGTTTGGTAGTGAAAATCTTAAAACGTGACATAGTAACTGAAAGTTGGAACTCTTCAAATAGTAGGTGCCTTATGTTCGAGGT